CTCAGGTCTTCCCGGCTTTGGGGGGCAAGGTCAGCAAAGGCCTGGGGGTGGGGGTGGCCTTGGCATGGGTGAGGGGCAACGAGACTGTCTCCCGGCTGGAGGAGAGCGTGCCCTGCAGAATTTCCGCAGGAGAATGATGAGCAGGAGAGGTAGAACTGGTCCGGAGGCCCTGAAATCCAAAACAAGGCCCTAGACTAGACTCCACAAGCAGGGAGGCACTGAAATTCCTTGAGCAATTTCATGAAAACAGTCTCTTAGGGAACTTCAAAGCCTCACTTGGCGGAGATGTGTAGGCAGAGTTGGAATGGGGAGAGATGACAAGCAGGTAAAGGGATAGCTTATTTGAGTAAATCTAATGAACAAGACTGTCATATTTTCCCTTTAAAGACAACCCTTATCCCCTCTCTGTGCCCCTCCTCCCCCTTACCTGGAAGCATGCAAGTGTTTCTGCTCCATCCTGGGCGGGACTGAGAATCAGGACAGAAGCCCGGGGCTGGGGGACAACCTGCAGGGCATCAGGGGAGGTGCTCTTGCCAGGATGGACCACAGAACCGAGGTCCGGTACAGCCAAAGCCACAGGTCCACAAAGACAGAGGACAGGCAAATGTGGGACCCGAGACTACGTGGAGCACGCGTGTCCAGGACAGCTGGGAGAGGAGAGGTTCAGGGTCCAGTTTCCCTATCTCCGTCTAGCAATGGCTTTGCAGTGGTCCCAGGCGGCATCCTGGAAGCAGGTGCTGTAAGCAGCCACTCTTGCCTGAGCAAAATGTCACTTCCCTGGGCTCTCCTTTCTTTTTTTCTTTTCTTTCTTTTTCTGTCCCCCCATTCCCGGCAATCCCCTTTGGGCTCTCCTTTCAAGAGACATAGTCACTCCCTCCTCTTTGCACTTCTGTCCATTGCACTACACACTCAAGGGTGGGGTTAGCACTCACCCACCTCTCTGTCGCCTCAGGTAGACAGTAGACTCCTTGAAGTTGGTGACCTTGCCCTTTGTTCCCTGGAGATCCTGCCTGACAATGTAGGTGCTGAGTGAATGCTCCTTTTGTCCCCCCAGTCTATGTTTCCCCTCCAGTTCTCCTCAAGGCTGGCAGAGGAAAATAGATGGCATGGAGATGACTCTGGGCACTTTCCTACAATTCTTGTCATTCCAATGGTCAGTATCTTCTTATCTCGTTTAGTTTGGTTAGTGGTATGAAGGCAATGTCTCAGCAGTTGTCTCTGCCCTGGTGCAGTTTATTGAGACCCTCTAGTCTCAGCTGTCCTCTAATGGTGGAATCTTAGGTACATCACAAGTGGTAATGCCTCCTTTTGTTCCTCTGCTTTTTTTTTTTGGTGAATGATGGTTCTGGATGGTCTGTCTCTTTGTCTGTCAGATGATTTATTTCAGCTGTTATACAGTGAACATCCATGGAAATGGAGTCATATTAAATCATGTGAATTCAAATGTAAGTGATTAAAAGAGACCAAGGAAGACAGAGTGAGCAAGTGAAAACGGCATGCATGGTGACAAGAGGCTGAGATGGGCGCTGTTGATCTGCCACCACCTCCCAGCCTCACTGTCCTCAAGTACCTCCTGCAGTATGAGCAGCTCATCAGGTTGAGGATGACTATGGTGTTGACACAATGGCCCATAAACACAGTTCTACCACTTCAACCACTGACTGGCCTTTTCCTGCACTGGAATTCAAATAGACTCTGCTGGATCTATGAGAGGCGGTGTATGCTCTCCGATGGAGGGAATTGAAAACTTCAGGCCACCTGAGATTTCCCTCTTAGACACTGACTTTGGAGCCACGTTCCCATAGAGGATGCTTCCTTGGGGCCATGTCTCCGTACCTCCTGTGCCTGTCACAATGATGCGATGAGCCAAGGTTGAGCCCCAAGGGAGCTCACAGTTGGGAAGCCATTTCTAAGTGCATTCTCTCTGCACTGGCCTGCTCACCGCTGCCTTGTTCCTCTTCCACCCCTGATGCTGTTTCCTGTGTCTTCAGAGATGACCAGATCACCTTGCCTTGTCCTTTTCTTCTTTCTAAGTGGCCTGACATGTGAGGGTGAGGAGGGAGTTGGCCTGATTGTTTTAGTAAACAGTTTCTAACAGGTCCGAATGTAACCTTTTGGTGGTTCCTATTCTTTTTATTTACTAAGAATAAAGAGGTATCTGCTCATTCCTGGCTTTGAAAAATGGGTTGACTGGCAAATCATACCTTGCCAACCACAATAGTGGATTCAAGCAGTTGCCTTGGACTGTTCCTCATTTACCACCCATTTATTCATCCACTCATCCATGCATCTACCCATCCACCATCAACCCACCCATGCACCCACCTACCCATCCATGCATGCATTCATCTATCCATCCATATACTTGCTTATTTATTTATTTAAAATAAAAACCATCACATACCCATGATAAAAATTTTACATAATCTGAAAGAGCTTATGGTCACAAGCAACTTTCTTTTTTCCTGCTCATCCTTATTTCTCCAGTTCTTTTCTCCAGATTGTAGGGTATACTTCTGCAAATACTCCTTGAGCAAAAAGTATTATATTTAAATCCTTTTATTTTATTTATTTTTCCCAATTGGTATCATAAAATACATACTGTTCCACCTTGTTCTTTTTTACTTAGCAGTATATCTTGAAGATTTCTTCACATCTCTTAAACTACTTTTCTTTTTCACTCCTCCATGGCACTTCTTTCTTGAATGTCTTCACACCGACATCCAAGTTCTACTTGTGGCTTCTTTGGTTTTGTCAATTTATCTGAACAACAGCAATAACAAGATAGCAAACATGTGGCATTTTACATATATGAATTCATTAATCCATGCAAGAAAATTGTAAGGTAGACATTATTATCCCCACTTTGTGGATGAGGAAACTGAGGCAGAGTGAGGTCCCAGCAGGGGAGGTGGACCCCACCAGCCAGCCCCTGTGGTACACCTGCCTTGGCCGTCTGTGTTTGGCTTTGTTTGCCTTTTTGATTTCTGTGTTCCAAACATTCTCAGCTGAGAGGTTCCCGTTTTGGGGCTGGTCTCTGCCCTCCATCTCTGTCGAGGGTGATGGAACTCAGACAGGACCTGAGGGTGATGGGCGGGGAGCTGTGAAGTGGTGCATGTTCCTAGAGGGAGCCTCCACCACATCCGAGTGATCCTGCCTTCCTGGGCTGTGCACGACTCGGGGAATACTGGATCCCAGAATGTCCCTGAACACTATTTCTCTGCTCCGCCTGATGTATCTTTGGAAACTCTATCTAGTCCTCAGTCTAGTTTGTCCATGACAGATTCTGGAACCCCTGGAGAATGCCTTATGCGTACTTCACCCGTCAGCCTTCCTGACCGTTTCCCTGGGAGCCATCATCTCCCAGCGCCCGGCTTGGCTTCCTGCCAGGGAGCCTCTGACTTTGCAAATGTCACAAGAGGCAGCTGGGTCCCTGAGGGCTGCCAAAAGGGGCTGCCATCGCCGGTGCCTGCCTGCTCTGCAGTGTCGGGAGATAAGGGTCCTCCCAGAGCTCTGAGCAAAGTGCTTGGAGAGGGCACTCGGGGTGGGAGGGAGCCCTTTGGCTTCTGGGATCGGGGATTGCTCATGAAGGGACACCTTTGATCTGGGGCAGGGGGCAGGGGGCAGGGGTGGGGCAAGCAGAGGCTATTCTGGGCAAGGAGAACATTGTGGGCAAGACACACAAATCTGTCATCCGAGACTATCCAGTTGTGCTCAGTGCCAAGCTCTGAGCTCAGCTGGGGCTGCCCAGGGTTTGCCACCAGTTCCAATCCTACCTGACCACACAGGGCCCAGGCAGAGCTCTGCCTCCTCCCACTCTAGCTGTTCTAGATGTCAGTAGCATCTGCCATCCCCCAAACAGCAACAAGTATTTGTTATGCACCACCTGTTTGCCTAGCACTGTTCTCTGATGCAGATCAAGATGGTTTCTCTCCCTGCTCCCTCCCCTGGCTTCACTGCACTTGGGTGAGGTGGGAGATAAGACAGGACCCTTCCAAGCTCTGGAGACTTCTATCCCTCTCTCTTTGTCCCAGGGCATGGAGGTTTCTCTCTCTCTCTCTCTCTTTAAGCATCCAGTGAGTGACTGGCAGCCATGGCCAGAGCATGGCCTGGTTTTCCAGAGCCCAATTTAGATTAGGCGCCTGGAGACGAAGGACAGAGTGGGATGGGGAGGAGGAGATGGGCTGCTGTGCCTGGGAGCTCGTCCATCTCAGCGCCCTGAGAGGTGTTTGGACGCTTGTGGATGCATTTGTGAATTGTGGGCCAAGTTCTTTGGGGGCCAAAAAGAAAAAAATAGTCTAAGACTGCACAGAGAAATCAGAGCAGCTACAGTTAAACAACTTCTCCAGAAGGACAGGCAGAGTGAAGGTGATGCTAAATAGAGACCCTGATGCCCTGGGACCAAGACTCAAGTTCTGCTCACTGCATGCTGCTGCTCCTTGGAGACTGAGACCCCTGGGTGCCACCTACTCAGGATTCTCAGACAGGATCTGGGGCTGTCTCCACACTGGGGGTTGGGAGTGGGGAAAGCCAGCCCACTGGATTTTTAGGCCACATGACTTGTAACCAGATTAGGAACAAAGGAAAGTCGCATCATGGCCACATGAAGGAGTGGGCACAGCCACGGAGGTACAGCTGTCTGCCTTGGGGTTCCTTGATATTTGGGAACAAGAGCCAATCCTTATTTTCTAAAAAGAAGCAGGGTAGAAATGAAAAAGAACCATCCAAATGACGATGAGTTGAGCATCTGGAAGAGCAGTTATAGTTTCCACCCCTTGAGCTTTTGGAAAACAATGAGTTGCAGCACCCCTAGAGATTCCGGAGAGTTCTGGATCTCACTGGAAGTGCACGGAGGCTGAGTGGGAGGGGGAGAGTGAGAAACCGTGCCTAAAAATACTCAGTGGAGGGAGGGCTCCTGAGGTCATCTCCCCGGGAAGGATAGTCTGTCCACCCGGCCAGACTCTGAGTACAGCCGTCTGAACAGAGCGGGCGCTCGGGGATGGGTGTTGACTGACGGGCAGCTTGAGAGGGACAAGGGGAACCGGGAGAGGGTTCAGAGAAGAGACCCAGAGGTGATGAAATGGCTGGAAACTGAGCTCGGAGGCAAAGTCAAGGGACTGGAACCTGCCCCACCTGGAGCAGAGAGGGTGGTGAGTGAGGGGTGAGGGGAGGGCCTTCCCTGGCCCTGAGGCTCCAGCTGTGGCTCCTCTCCGGCCCTGCCAAGGATGGAATAAGGGTCACGGTGTGGCTTTGCTCTTGAGGATGGACTGTGAGTGCCTGGATCATTAGAAACCCCACCGCTAGGGAGAGCTGCACTTCCATCAGCTCAATCGCCCCCTTGTGCAAAGGACCGCAGCCAAGACAGACCTGCAGCCAACATAGCCCTAACGCCCTGGTGGCCTGGATGGATGCCCCGTCTTGAGCGGTGTTTCCGACAACTGGGATGAGGGGGGTGGACTCAGGTTTGAGCAGGTGGAGGCCTGTCTGGTACCCATCAGTCACCCTTTGCCTGGAGCCACCCACTTTTACGTGGGACCCCAGAAAGGAGGACAGGCGTGAGCCTGGAGGGGGTGAGTGAAGACTTCCTCAAGGGAAGGGGACAAATTCACACGTGCAGAGCACTTCTGTGTGCCAGGACCTTTCCATGTGTGGTCTCATTTAATTTGCACAGTAATCCTATGGGGGAGGGAGGAGAGGGATTATTTTGCCCATTTGACAGATCAGGAGACGAAGGGGAAAGGACATCCATTAAGCTTTCACCCAAACTCACCTCGTTGGTTAGTGGGACAATTGACACCTGGCCAGGGCAGGTCAGAGCCCATCTGCAGCTGGAGAGAGGACTCTAGGGATGGAGTCAGATTTTTCACTGAGCCCAGGGCTCTTCAGACAAAGTTACCCGGGAGAGCATCCTCAGATTGAGCTCACCTTCTGACTCTCAGAGTCCACGTCTAAACTGAGAGGAGGCCAGCTGAGAAATTCTCCGGCACCCCTCCCATCTCTTGGCTTTGGAGGGTCTACCTTGGAGCACCCCTGGGGGCCCTCCTCCACGGAGAGAAGAGCTGTGTGGGGAGGAGGATGCAGTCTGTGTGTCTGAAAGTGGCGAAAGAGATACAATCCCCAAGCTCGGGTCTGCAGTCGGTGTCTGGTTGCCTCGGCCTGGAATCTGAACCGAACCATTTTCCACGGGCGAATTAGCTAAACAATCCAGCCCACAAAGGGAGCAGCTCTGATATGTCCGCGAACAAGCTCAGAGGGCTGGGGGGTGCCGGGGGTGCCCAGAGCTGGGAGGGGAGGAAGGAGGCTGCTGGCCAGAAGCCCACCTTCTCTTGTCTTGCTGCCCTGGGTCCCAGCCTCTCTGCTTGGGAACCTGGCGCAGAGGCTGGTCTGATTTCCCTGTGGTCTGAACGGTGGGAATATTTTGGTGGCAGATTATATTTTCCTGAGGCGGTTTGAATTACAGCTACCCCATTTCATTTAATTACTTTGGAGCTGCTGTCTATTGTGTCTCGTGGGCCTTCCTGCATGAATAAATAGTAACATGTTTGTTTTCTTTTGGGTGGGGTACTTTCTTTTTTTTTTAAATGGTGGGTTTGGCAAAGAGGGGCGATCCCAAGGAGTGATGATGAAGTCTTCAGGGAAGGGGAGGTTAGAGGCAAATCTTCACTCCGCTGAGCTTTATAACCCCTTTCCTCTCTACTGTTTCTGGGCCCCACTTTTATACAATATATTGAGAGCCGCCTCTGTTTTCACTTCGCTCTCCAGCAGGGCCTGCTTTGTCTTTGCAGTCTGCCTGGGAAGCAGGTGCCTCCTCCTCAGGCCTGCGCCCGGGCTCATTTTACTGTAGTTTTCCATCCATCCCCCCCCCCCTCTCTCTCTCCCTCCCTCTCTTTCTGTCTCTACCTTCTGGCTGCTACAAGATCATCAGCAGGGAACCACGGAATATTATGCAGCCAAGGAAAAGAATATAGCAAACTCTGTATATGTCAACATGGGGTGTTTGCCAAGAGATTTTATAAAGAAATAATTTTTGTATATTGTATGCCCTGTTTGTGTAATAAAGGGATGCCTGTCATGTGCACATGATATTTCTGGAAATATATAAAAAAACTGTGGACATTGGATGTTTTGGGAGAATAGAAATAGAGTTGGGATTTGGAGAGAGACCTACTTTTATATTGCATTTTTGGATGCTATTTGATATTTTTTAATATCAAGTGCATGTATTATTTTTATAATAAAGAACTAATTTATAAAAGGAAAACATGAAATATAAAAACATGATAAGATAGTACATGTTTAATTACCAGATGAAGCAGTGATTAAGATATGTCTTAGAAGATCCAGGCTTGAATCCCTGTTCCATCAAATATTAAGTGTGTGACGGTAGGCAACTTCCTTAATCTTTCTAAATCTCAGTTCCTTCACCTGTAAAATGGGAATAAAATAGTACCTACTTTATGAGGCTTTTAATCTTATACTTTGCAGTAAAGGCTGTTAGTTAAGTATATAACTAAAATGGATTTAAGTTTTAATTTCTTTATAAAATTCTCTATGAAAGTGAATACACAAATCATAAAGCTAACTATAAGACCATGGATCCTGATTTTTCCATTTGGCAAATGGTAGAGCAAGATAATGGAAGCTCTAAATTCCAAGGAGAGTGCACACCTTTTTTACCTGGGGTGTTCCTAGAGGCTTTGGGGAAGTGGTGGAGCAGCTGAGCCTTGAGCAATGAAGAGAGTTTGGTAAGGCCACTGCAGTTAGGGGCAAGGGAGAGGACAGGGTGGCAGAGGAAAGAACAGAGGATGGTGGTGAAACAATGCTGAGGCCAGTTGGGCTGGAGCAGAAGTTTCCCCTAGGAGGTGGTAAGTGGAGAGAAAGTGGATGGAACCAGAGGCCAAGCAAGGATCTGACTGTGTCCTAGAGGGAGCGGGAGGAGCAGGTCTGAATGAGGGAGTGGCTGGGTTATCTGTTGCCTGGTAACAAATCACCCCAAGGTGCAGTAGCATAAAAGGACCATTTGTCATGCCGGCAAATTCTGTGTGTCAGGGATTTGGACAGGGCACAGCAGGAACAGTTTGGCTCTGCTCCCCAGTGCTTGGAGCCTCAGCTGGGAGATTCTCGAAGGTTGGTAGTGATGGCAGTGGCTGGAGTCATCTGATGGCTCGTTTAGCCCTGTCTTTGCAGTCCGCGGCTGTGTCTGTCCGCCAGAACTATGCTCATGGCCTCTCCATGTCGGCTGGGCCTCCTCATAACATGGAGGCTGGTTCCAGAGGTGAGCATTTTGAGAAATGCAGGAAACTGTAATGCCTTTTCCAATGGAGCTCCAGAAGTCACTCGGCGTCCTATCCACTGCTTCTGTTCATCAAGGCACTTGCAAAATCTTGTCCAAATTCAAGGGACCAGAAATATTGCTACGGCCACCTTTGCAAAACACAATCTTCTGCAGAGAATGAAGTGGATCAAGCCAACCATTTAAAACAAATATTTATTGAGTGTCTGCTATGTGTTAGGTACCATGCTAGAGGCTGGGGAGATAGTGATGAGGAAAAAAACAGACATGATTTTGACTCCTGGAGGGGATGGAAGTGACAGCCTGGTGGGGGGAGGCAGACATGAATGAAATCACCACATAACAAATGTTGAATTTCAATTATGGCAAATCCTGGAGGGGAACATGGGGCTGTGAGCTTCTATAATAGGGTGTGGATTTTACAGAGTCAGACAGAGAAGGAAAGGTTTCCTCAAGGAAGTGATGTCCAGGCAGAGAACTAAGGAGGGTAGAAGTAGAGTGAGCAGATTGGGAAGGAAGAGGGTTCTCCATGCAAAGGTCCTGTGGCAGAAGGCAGAAGGCAGTCCTGATATAAATTATCTGAAATGTGGGTGGATAGTTGGCTTATCTGACCAGGTAAGGGGTAGAACATAGCTTTTGGGAGTGCCAAGAGGGCTGTTAACCTAAGGTCTCTCTATATCACTCCTCCACTAATCTATTCTTGGGACATTCCTGATTCTCAGCTGAAGCTCACCAACTGGAGAGGCATAGGGAAGCCTGGAATGGAACTGATATGTGGGTAGAGGGTGGCGTACCCACAAAGCACCCCATGTGTGCACTAGTGGAACTCTCTGGCTCTTCTCCACGTCCCCAAGGCCTGTGCTTGGGAAGAGTGTTCCCAGGGAGATGAAGGTGGAAGAGAAGGCATCCCAGACATGCAAAACAGCATGGACAAGAAGACACAAAGGTAAAGATCCTGGAGAAGATGGAAGTGACACCTCTTGGGAGTCTACTGTGTGTGGCACTACAGAAGTGCCACCATTGAATCCTCCCCGCATTGCCCTTACTACCCTGTTTTACAGACAAAAACTGGTATGTGGAGATAGGAAATGACTGGCGATAGATCAGACCACAGGACAGCACCATAGTGGAAACGAGAGGCCACTCCCTGCTCCCTATGGGCAGTGACATGTCTAAAACAATGGCATAAAGCTGAAGTGACTCACAGGTGGGAGAATGCTTGGGGGTCCCTGATGTCATTCCACGTAGATGGGAGCCTACTCTCCCATGGAGATGCTTGGACATCAGAGAAAGGCCTAGGGCTGACCTCCTGGAGGTATAACCATCCAAGCAACAGCCATGGTGACCGGGGCTGAGTGGTCACACCCATCGTAGAACTTGGCTTACCCGGCGACCTTGGGGAGGGCAAGCCCTGCTCCTGAGGATCACACTAGCGATCAACTTACTGTGTGTCCAAGGCCCTAAGAAAAACAGGAAGCCACCACACCAGAGAGTCCTGACTGTTCTGTTCCTGTGCTTTTGCCCAGATGTTTGTCCCCACCTGCTGCCTCCAAAGCCCTAATAACACTGGGTGAAGTGAATTGAACAGTCTAAGCTCCCCGAGATGCAGTGGGAAAATCTTTGCCTCTGGTTGAACTTGGGTCCTCCCACTTACTGCAAGATCTTGGCCCTGTCAGGTTCAACCCCCGTTGCCTCATCTAGACATTGCATAATAATACCTAACTCTCAGCCGTGGTGGGCACTGAGTATGAGCAGAGATGCATTTTGTTTACACTAAAGCGCTGTGTGTATTCAAGTTCTCAAGCATAGTTAACGCATTTAGGATTCTTCTTAGAGCTAAACCAGATACTCTCTCCA